ACCGCTGCTCTCTCCTTCTCGCCTCCTTCCCTCTGCAGCGAGGCTGAACAACTGGCCCCCGTTGCCGTCCTTCTGCCCGGTGAAGCCTTGCTTTTACCAAGACATCCCCGTGGAGATCCCTGCTGACTTCCAGAAGACCGTTTCTACCATGTATTACCTCTGGATGGGTGAGTCCCCGGGGGAAATCTAAGGGCAGGTCCTGGGGGGAGGTAGAGGAACAAGTGTCCTGCGTGCGAGTGAACGCTGCTGGGCTGGAGACCTTGCGATTATCACGCAGTGCCCGGGTCTGGGGGGCCGAGCCCTTGGTGCGGGGAGGGGGGAGCCTTGCTCGGGTTGCTTGACCGATGTTCTCTCTCTCAGCCAGCACCATTGCTCTCTTCCTGAACTTCTTGTCCTCGCTGGCCTGGTTCTGTGTGGAGCCCTCGTCCGGTTCTGGGTTCGGCCTCTCCATTCTCTGGGCTCTCCTCTACACGCCCTGCTCCTTTGTCTGCTGGTATAGGCCGATGTACAAAGCTTTCAGGTGTGTATCTGCTTGAGCTCCCAGGGCAGCGAAGCAGCGGGTGGGATGGCTGCAAGGCGGGTGCTTGAAGCTGGGGAGACTGGGCTGCTTGGGAGAACGGGCCCTTGCGCTGAGTGCGGCACCGATGGTGCCCCAGCTGCTTTTGTGGCCTTTGGGTCTGGGGGATGTGGTGATTCTGCACTGAGCTCCTGGCTGAGGAACAGACCTTGCTTTGGCTGGGGCTCTTTTAAGGAGGTCACAGGAACGTGTTTTCCTGTGGACCTTGCCGTTGGAGATCCCTGCACTGCCTTATGCCTCTTCCTCAGATTTGTCCTTGTTTTAAGACCCTTAACCAGTGGCTGCGCCTCTGGGGCCTGCGTGCTCGCTCTCGCTTTGAGGAATGTTTGAGAGTTGTTTTCTGTGGCCTAACCTCGTCTGTCTCTTTCTCCCAGGAGTGACAGTTCATTCAACTTCTTTGTCTTCTTCTTCGTCTTCTTTGCCCAGAACGTGATGTATGTGCTGCAGGCGATCGGCATACCAAACTGGGGATTCAGGTGTGCGTTGTGCTGGCCCTGGGGAGTACCCGGTCAGCCGGGTACCCCAGCAAGGGAGGAGGCGGGTGGGGAAGAGGGAACCTGTGGGCGACCACCTCTTGTTTTGCAGTGGCTGGATATTGAGCCTGATAGCGCTGCGGAAGAACACAGCCGTGGCTGTGATGATGATCCTGGTGTCCTTGTTCTTCACAGCAGTGGCTGTGTTGGGCATCATTATGCTGAAAAAGGTGAGTTTGGATCGAGCCTCTGGACCAGAGTGCCCCTTCAGGAGGATGAGGGTGGGTTTTGGCAGGTGCGGGGGCACAGCTCTGTTCACTGGGGGCCCGGAACGGGGCCGGTGCGCTGACCCCGAGCCTGCCGCTCTCTTCCAGATCCACTCTCTGTACCGCCGGACGGGCGCCAGCTTCCAGAAAGCCCAGGAGGAGTTTGCCGCGGGGGTCTTCTCCAACCAGGCGGTGCGCACTGCAGCGGCCAACGCTGCCACAGGGGCCGCCACCAATGCCTTCCGGGTGGCCAATGCTGCCACAGGTGCCGCCACCAATGCCTTCCGGGTGCCCTAGCCGGGCGGTGGCCCCGGCTTCTCATCGCACGTGGGCTCTTTCTAAGGAAGAGGAAATCCAAGTTGCACTTTCATTGGATCCCCGTGTGTCTGCATCAGCTGTCAGAGGCCGCCTCATCCCAGCTTGGAAGTGCTGGTGCCTGAATCGTCTGCTGCTCTAACCCCTTCCCTCACGGATGGAGGCTGTTCTGGTTTGTGCTGGTCCCCTTCCCTCAGTGGACTGGGGAAGGAGCGGGACGGGAGGTGCCGTGACCAAGCCCTGTGCCTGTCATTGCCCTCCCTTCCAGCACCAGGAGCCTCCTCCAGACGTGTGACAGGGACTGAAGCGGCTGCTCACCTTCCCTGTGTTGGCCAGGGCTCCCCTGTTTCCCCACCTGGCGATGCCACTTGTGTGCCCTGGGGCACAAAGGGGTTCCCCGCGTGTCCAGTCCCAGGGCGTGCAGGGGCTGGCTCTTCCCTGGAGGCTTTTGCCTGCCTTCCCTTTGATGCGGGACCTGATTCTCTGCCAAGAAAATCGTCACCCTCTTCCCCCAGGGGCTTGCTCCGGTGGGGTGGGGCGGGGCTGGGTCTGTCCCCAGGGTGCTGAGCTCGGAGGCAGCCCTCCTCCAGTCCCTTTCCCCTTCTTCTCCCTCTCTCCTTTGCCGGGCTGAGCCCGCTCCAGGCGCAGGGATAAGGAGAGTGGGGCCGGGACAGGCAGCGGTGGTGCACGTGCTGCTGTTGGGGCTTCTTGCCTTTAGCCTGCGTGCCCAGCCACAGCTGTCCGGGACTGGCACGCGGTGGACCCTAAAGCCAGGCTGGGCACCGGGGAGGGCTCCTGGTACCTCCTTAGCTCCCTCCTCGCCTCCAGCTGAACAGCTTCTCCCTTCCTCTGCCTGCCCTGGGGCCAGTGATCCCTCGCTTCCACCCCAGCACTCTTCACCCAGAGCCTGCCCCTTCCCCAGGGGCCTTCGCCCTCCTCCCTTTTCGGGTGCTGAGCCGGTGCAGCACTGCCTAGTATGTGCCCTGTGTCCCTGCTAGCCCCTGGTGTCCCCCCTCCCGTGTGCCAGTGTCCTCGGGGCTCCCTGGGCCTCGTGTCGCTGGGACGGGTCTCACGAGTTCTGCTTCGCCCCATCTCTCCTCTCCGATGCTCCTGGGTTTGTCCCCGCTGCTCCTGGGCTGGCGGGAGGGTTCGTGCCTTCACCTGGGGGGGGGCCAGCACACGCGGCGGGTCCCCCGCGGCCGTGCCCTGTCCTG